ACTTTCTGCTAATTAAGTGTGAAAAGGCCTCTGCTGCCAAGGTGGCAGGTGATCCTAAGCTTTTCTCCTTTCCAAAGATTCCAATTTCATTTACACCATTGGAAGATAAAAAGGCTTGTACGAACCAACACAACGTAAACTATACTGACATCATTCTCCTGTTTACCAACTGAATATGAACGGATTTGCACCACAGAATGTGTTTTGTAGCAAGACAAGCTGTAGTTGAAGCTCTGTGCGAAATCAGTCACACAGAAAGAGGAGGGTCTGAGGTCAGAAGGCCATACTTTCTAACACTTGGCAACATCTTTCCAGCCTTCACCTGCCTGCTCGGGGTTGCACACGACTTCCCTTCACGTGGAGAAAACCCTTTCTCCCTACATTTCTGCGACAGCTCTCCACAGTCTCCTTTGCCAGGGGTGATCTTCTAAGACCTTTTAAAACACGGTGGTGCCTGTCTTCGGTTCTGGATCCCGTTGTTCTCTTACTGCACAAATACTCCTGATGGGTCCAACAACCACCCACTCGGACCAACACCACCTAACTCTCTTATCTCTGGCTCAGAGCTGCACCCACGAGTATCGGGCCCATTCTTCATTACAGCCCCAAATTTGTAATGTTTGTAATGTAAAAGCATTTTTCTCCTCCAACCCTATTCCCGATGTTGGGGTCTCTATTGTGTTCAATGACACGATAAACCCATCAATTGTCCCCCTCTGAAACTAGGCAATCAATCACTCACTTGCCACATTCAATAAGTCACTAAGTCTGGCCATTTTACCATGCTTGGTCACCCAGATGTTCAAGAGACAGTTTTCTTGCTACTGTGACCACCGTAGTTTTAAAGTTCAAGTGCTCACTTAACTTTTGGACTATGGAGATGGTTTCCAGGCTCTAAGACCACTTATCTTAAATCCAGTCTCTATTATGCCGAGTAACCAAACTAGGATGCTTTGAACAGTGAAAGAGGGTGCTATTAACAACTGTAATAGTACAACCGGTGTAAACCAGGCCACTCCAAAGCAAACTTTGGACAGAAGGGCACTTTACTTCCCAGGTCAGGCTGATACCACTTGGCCCTTGCTTCCCTTTCCAACCACTTCTCTTATCACCTTCCTCCTTTCATGCTACACCTCAGCCACACAGAATAATCTGCAGGTTTCCAAATGCATTATTCCCCTTACTCCTCTGGGTCTCTCCGCATGCTGTGTACTGTGCCTCAATGCTCTCCTTCCACCCCCGCACTTGACTACATTCATTTAGCTCATCACCCCTTCCTGCAGGAAGCCCGGCAAGGCCTCTGGAAGACTAGGTAATGGTCGTGACTGGGTTCCCATAGCACTCCATATATAACCCCTTCGGGTACATCCAACATATTGCAGCTATCTGTTGCTCCTCTATGTTCCCCGTTAGGCTACACATTCCATGAGGGCAAAACCAACTTCACTCATATTTATATTACTAGAGCCTGAATAGTAAGTACCCTGTATCCAATGTAAAGGTAAATAGCTTTTATGAAAAGCTATTAAATTATCAACATGTTTTTGATATGCTCTCCCTCTATGTGCTTTGAGATCCATGAAGGTAGAAACCATTCCTTTTTTTTGGAGTTGGAGTCTCTGTCGCCCAGGCTAGAGGGCAGTGGCACTCTCACCGGTCACTCCAGCATCTATCTGCTGGGCTCCGGCGATCCTTCTGCCTCAGCTGTTCAACTAGCTGGAACTACAGGCACACACTACCATGCCTGGCTAATTTTTTGGATTTATTGTAGAGATGAAGTCTTGTCAAGTTTCCTGGGCCACCAAGTTGCCTGGGCTGGTCTTGAAGCCCCTGGGTTCAGGCAATTCTCTTGCCTTGGTGTCCCAAAGTGCTGGGATTACAGGCTTGAGCCACCACGTCTGGCCTAGAAGTCATTCTTTACTTTAATGGCCCCAGCATTTAACATATTAGATGTTTAATGTTTTATTGAACAGGCCCATTAGTAAAGGTGTGACTCATTTATTAAGTGTTCATTAGAACCAAAGGACTTAGTGGTAGAAAAAAATAGCTAAAGAAAAAGAAACAGGAAAAACATGAAATAAATGCAAATAAAAATAATAAAAAGGAAACAAAACAAAAAATCATGTATCAATAAAGTAAAATAAAAGTAAAGCTGCTGGTGTTTCCAAGGTACACATGTATACAGAAAGGAGAGATCTCTTTCTTCTTTAATTAACAAAAGAGAAAAGAGTCTTCCATATTTTATTTTTTCTATGAAGGCCTGTTAACTACAGATGAAAATGTGGGTACAAATGTAAATACAAACTACTCTTTGGTTCTATTCTACTATTAAAACTACCTAGAAAGTTTTGGATTTTCGGATGAAGACATGGTTCTCATTCATTGTCTATGAGACTGAGAGATGTCTACTTCTAAGGTCATCTTCACTGCAACATTAGTTCAAGTTTTTAATAGGCAAATAAAAGATATTTCATAAGAACATGCTTTTTATCTATAATTTCATAAAAGAATGTTATTATTTTACTAACTGGCTTTATTTACTGCAGCGTAAAGAATGATTTTCTGTGTCTAATGTGCTATGGAATTGGAATAACAAGCTCTAAATCAGGAAAATGTACACACATACACAATGTTGTGCATAAACGAGTTGTTCACAGAAGTAAATTAAAAATTTCTTTGCTAAAAAATATGATCACATCTGTTGTTTCTTCTAACTCATGCCATTTTATCAGTTCTCTGTATCTACTGAGAACAGCTGATCTTATTTATTGATCATACCCATTTATATTTTCCCTGTATTCCCTTTTATGAACTGCCCTTATCTTTTAAAAGTATACTTCTTAATATTTCAGTTCTCCACACAATTCAAAATCCTTCTAACATTTTTAGCAAGCCTTTTTTCCATACCCTTTCTAGGTATTTTTATGTTCTTGCAGACTGACTTGGAGAGCCCTCTACTGGTCTGATGCTGTGTTAGAAGACCATTCACTTCATCTTTCAGCATTTACACATGCTTTGCAGTAACAAGTTTTTTACATGCTTTCAAGTGATGTAATAATAATTATATAATCAAAGTAAAACCTTTTTCAGAATGACAAAATTTAAAGAGAAATTGAATGGTTCTACTAAAATACTGTTATCAAGCAAAATTATACTACTTATATAGCATAAAAATGCCATTTTCAATTAAGTGTATGCTGTTAATCTCATACTGCACCATAAAGTCTTGCTCTTATGTGACAGAAGTTGTAGATGAGACCATATTATGATGTGTAAGTAACTAAAAGTACTTATACATTCCAATAGCAAGTTGGAATCATCTCCATGTTAGATGCCTCTGCCTCAAGTAAATCTGATATTTGGTCTTCAATATTTTCTGATTTTAATACAGCAGTGCAATTGGTATTTATAAACACATGTGAAGATATAATGGGAAAAAAAATTACACTTAGAAAGACTTCTTAAAATCCAAGAATAAAGATCTTAATAGAGAGGACAAAATATTTTCCTTTGATCCCAATAAAAAAATGCCCATTTTTTAAATTTTGGAAATAAACAAACTATAAAGTTTATATTAAAAAGTGCAAACAGGTTTTAAGGAAAGCAGTTTTTTAAAAGAGTAATAATTAAGGAAAGTAGCCCCTCCAGCCATATAAGCCTTGTTACAAGGCCTTCCAGACCCATTAGGCTGTACTGTCCTTAAAGATAAAACCACATTTCTATTCCTAGGGCCTAGACATTGTCTTACCCATAGTGAATGCAAATAAATTGAGAAGGAATAGATAAACGTGTCTTTTTATATGGTCTCTCCCTTTATACACTCTGAGACACATGAAGGCAAGAACTATTTCACTTTTATGACATCAGAATTTATTAATAGCATAGTGGATGTTTAATCATTGTTTCCTGAAATAGGCTCCTTTGTAAGGATAAAACTTGTTTATAAAATATTCATTAGAATGAGACATCATCAGAAAAAAAATCACATGGAAGAAAAAGAAACAATGATAAAAATAGAAAAACATTATGACAAATTTAGAAAATGTATTTTCAAATCAAATTACAGACAAAAAGTCTATTTATTTTCTATATAAAGGAGTCCTAAAAACAATAAGCAAAAGCCTAAAATGTAACAAAAAATAAGCAACAGATATGAAAAGACAATTCACAGAAAAAGAAACATATATGGGTCCTAAATACATAAAAAGAAGCTCAATATTACTCTTAAGAAAAACACACATTAAAACCGTCCAGAGGTTACTACTTCCTGCCTTTTGCATAAACCTACTAGAAGAGCAGAACTTCCAAAGTCTGGTAACACATTTTGTAAGTATGGCCAGGAGTTGTGAAGCAGGAGAGAGAGGAGTCTTACACACCGCTCTCCTGGATGGCAATTTGACCATTATCTGTAAAAATCACTAGCTCAAGCAATGACCAGAAATTTCACTTCTGGAAATTTAATTTATAAAAATATCTGCATCTGACCAAAATAATATTTATAAAAGGTTATTTTTTGTTGCATTATTCATAATAACCCCAAACTGGAAACAACCTAAATTTTGATAAATAAAGGAGATGCTATCTCTATAAAATAAAAAAAATTTACGTAGCTGTGCTATCAATGGAACAATATGGAAATAATCGTCGTAGCTTGTATAATTTTTGTAATAAAAAAAGATGTCAGATAATCTATGTATTCTGATGCTTTTCACAAACACGGAAGAACAAAATATATTTACGTCTGCTTGTGATATGCACCTGCTCTGGAAGGATGCACCAGAGACTGATAACAGTAGTTCCTGCATGTGGGTGGAGAGGGGGTGTGAACTGGACAAATGGATTATCATGGTTGGACACCTTTCATCACATATATAAATATGAACACCACACCAAGTGAATGGATTAATCCAAAAATTGATTTCAAATATCCTAATCTTACAAGATAAGTCTATTATTAGCACAAGGTTTACTATTAAAACAACAACTACAAAATCCTTTACCTGCAAACCAGCCACATAAGACTCTTCGCAATTTACATAATGTCCTAACATGGCATGTTGTGCCCGTAATTCATTATCTCTTATCCTCTCATGTAGGTGGGTAATCTGTTGCTTCTGTCTGCAAAACATCAATGAAGATCACATTATAAAGAATATACTTTTCTAATAGATACATACAAAGCTTTTAGCATTCCAATAATTTTGCTTAAGAATTTATACGTGTTATCAATTGTGAAAACAATTTTTAAAAATCCACAGTACCACGTGTGGAATTACAGCAAAACTTCATGCTGCAGAGTATTTCTGGCATTTTATAAAATGTAGTCTTTTATAGAATTAGATTCCAACAAAGTCATGCTTTGCTTTCTTTGTTCTTGTTACCTAACATCACAAGCGTTATGCCCTCAGCCTGGACTGCCATTACCCTAAACTCATTATTTGCATTCACACAAATTCTGCCGAACACAGTGTGACAACTGAAGCTCTCGAGGTCTTACTGTCAGGGGCGAAACGCGGCTTCACAAATATCCTCGAGTTCAACTGCTGTCCTGTGCCTGCATCTTCTCTCTACATCATCCCAGGCTGCACAGTCCACACGGAAACATAACTTATGATGGGATACTCAGTGACAGGTCTGCATCTGTGGAGAGCTCTGACATTCTGTTTAGTAATGCAGCTCATGTTGGAAACAGACACGCACAGGTTCAAATCTTTCTTCAGCAGCTCAAAGCTTGCTTTGTGCAAATTAGTTGACCCCTGTGAATATGGATCCTTATAGATTTAAAAACTTTATGTGCCAGTTGTGAGGCTAAGAGCTTTGTATGCAGTATCTCCCATCTTTAAAAATTTAATAACATAGTGAAGTTTTGAAGGAGAGAGTGCTTTTAAGGAATAATAAAGACAGTGTAAGTACACAAATACCTTGCTTTCCAAAATTACTAACAAAGTAACTTTTGGAACAAACTAGGTTACATATTTCAGACCGTGTCAAAGGCCTTGTTCTACTCAGTTATTTTCATTTTTTTTAAAAATTTGCACTCCTTTAAGAAAATCCACATAGAGAACATGAAGTAGGAAATAGGTAAGTTAAGAGAGATTAGTCATATGACACTTTTCAAATAATTTAAATCTTTACAAAATTTAAAAAAAACACTTCCTTTTCCAGCCAAGACTGAGTACCGGGATGGGTTTTGCCCTCCTGACTAAAACAATTAAAATTTTTAAAAAGACAAAACAGAGGAAGCGAAGATTCTCAAGACACTGAACATTAGGGAATGAAGAAAGAAGTCTGAGAGATGGGTAACCAGCCAAGTTGGCCCTAGGAAGGCCTCTTTGTTGACTGCTGAGAGAGGTTTCCAGTTCCAGTACAGGGACGGCATTCTCCCTGAATGGAAGGGACAGAGCCGAGAGGCCCAAGGCAGCTATAATGCACAGCACTGGGTGACCCATGAGTACTCGGCTTAACACTGATCAATAGCCCAATAGCCGCCCGAAGAAACCGTTAAAGCGGTGTGTGGAGGAGGAGGGGCGACCAAAAGGTTACAGGGAACAACGTGGGAGGTCCACACGGGACCTGGGACCTGCAGGACCCGCTATTCCCAGCTGCCGGAGGGAGCCTCACCGTCTGCAGGGGGTCAGCTACTGTCAGTTCTCAACCAGTAGCAACTTTTACCCCAGGGGAGATTCAGTCATTCCTAAAGACTTTCTATTTTCACAACTGGGAGAGAGTGCTACTCCATCTAGTGAGCAGAGGCCAGGGATGCTAGTAAATGTCTACAGTGAGCAGGACAAACACCTACACCAATTATCTGGCCCCAAAGCCCAACAGTACTGAGGCTAAGAAGCCCCAGGTTTCTAAGATGGGATTTCCTTCAGTAGTAGAGAAAAATTAATCCAAGAGGAAAGCTCTAGTGCCATCTAACAAAACTTAAAAGCAAAACAAAATTAAAAACAAGAACAAATTAAAAACAAGAACAAAAACTGCTTCTCAGAATAAAGCTCAGAAACACAAAAATACGTAACATTCAAAATGAAAGGGTAAAACGCCAAAATGGAGTAATTTTTGCCCAAGAGCAGTCATTTGAAGCTTTGTGTGGAAGAGGATGGGCAACCTCTTTAGCGTTTTATTTTAACTTGCCCTCTGGTCATTAACAGGGGACAGAACCAGTTTGCCAAGGGTAAACCAGGGTTTACCAGAGGTATACCAGAGGTAGTCACTGGACGCCCCAAGCATGCTTTGTACTGATTACCTTTCTATCCAAAATATTTGTGTTCCTGCCATAAAGGGTTAAACTGACCCAATCTATTGTGATCAGCACTTTATGACCTACAGGACACAGACCACCATCCCACCACCATGGCAAACTACTCCACCAAAAGGAAGCTTTAAAAGCATTCAACCTTACTCCAGCCTGGGCCACCGAGTGAGACTCCAACTCAAAAAAAAAAAAAGCATTCAACCTGGTTCTGTCCCCTCAAGTACTCCCTGCCACATTTTCTTCAGCTGCCCGGCCCCCTTCTCACCTTTGAAGTGGATTCACTCTCTCTCTTTAATCTACTTTCTAATAAATTATCTTTCCCAATCGAATTTTTGTACAATTTTTTTGCCATACCTGCAGCACCAGCTCACTGACCTACCACAAAGCGTGTTAAAATTCATAATGCCTGACATCAAGTAACAAATTACAGGAATGCAAACAAGTAGGAAAATGTAACTCACAACAATAAGAAAATCCAATCAACTGAAACTCAGCCAGGACTGACACAGATGACAGAATAGACAAGGACACTAAATCAGCTATTATGACTGTATTCACATGCACAAGAAGCTACCTGTTAAGTAGAGACAATAAAAGACATAACACACTGAATAAGAATTAAGGGCAGATTAGACATTGCAAAAGAAAAGTATACTGAATTTGAAAACAAAGCAGTAAAAACTATGCAAAAGAAACACACAGGGAAAAAAAGACCAAAAAAAAAAATCAGAGTATCAGTGAGCTGCAAGACTACTATAAGAGGCCAAATAGATGTAAAATTTAATTCCTAAAGAGGAGGTGAGAAGTGGAGAGGGGGTGCAGAAAAAAACATTTGTAGAATACAGGCCAGAATGTTTCCAAATTTGATGAGAATGACACACTCACAGATTAGAGAATCTAGTGAACCCCAAGTACAAGTGACTTGAAGAAAATTAAGCCAAGGTACATCTTAATCAAATGGATTACAATCAGTGATAATCTTGAAAGTAGCCAGAGGGAAAACATACATTCATTCAGGGAGACAAAGGTAAAAGGATAGCATATTTCTCATCAGAAATAATGCAAATGAAAAGACAAAGAAATACTAAACCTTAAAAGCTCTCAACCTAAAATTTTTTACAAGAAAAAAAAAGTTCCACAAAAGGAAAACCTATCATCCTAGAATATTTCACCCGTGGAAAATACAAAAGACACAGATGAAATGAATACTTATTTTGGAGACTTAAAAAGTAGAAAGAATTCATCACCTGCAGACTTCAACTATAAGAAATAATAAAGGAATGCCTTTAAGCTAAAGAATAATAATACTGGATGGAAAACCTGAATCTACAAAAAAGAAGGAAGAGTACCAGAAATACTAATTACATGGGAAAATACATAAGGTATTTTCTTATTACTTAAATATCACTAAAAGATAAATTGTGTAAAGCAAAAATAATAATGTATTGTATGGTATATAACTTTTGTAGACGGAATGTAAGGCAAAATAGCACAAAGGCTGGGAGACAAAAAATAAAAGTATATTTTATAAGATTCTTACATTATACATGAAATAGCACAGTATTACTTGAAGATAGACTGCTATATTTTAAAGAAATATATTATAAAATCTAAAGTAATCATAACACAACCAAGAGCTATAGCTAATAAGCCAACAAAGGAGATGAAAGTAATTATTTAAAAATTCAACTAATTCAAGAGACAGCGAAGGGAAACAAAAACAGATGGGAAAATTAGAAAACATGTAGCAAGTTAGAAGCTTTAAACTTGACCATATCAGCACCACAACATATAAATGGTCTAAATACTTCCAGTCAAAAGGCAGACATTGTCAGAATGAGTAAAAAGACCCAACTATCTACAAGAATATCATTCTAAACATTAAGAATGCAGGCTGGGGGTGGTTCTTGCCTGTAATCCCACTACTTTGGGAGACTGAGGCAAAAGGATAAGTTGAAGCCAGAGGTTCAAAATAGCCTGAGCAGCACAGCAATACCCCATCTCTACAAAAAAATAAAGAATTAGCTGGTTGCTGTGGCACGCATCTGTAGTCCTAGCTACTTAGGAAACTAAGGAGGAAAGAGTGCTTGAGCCCAGGAGTTCGAGGCTATAGTGGGGCTATGATCACACCTTTGCATTCCAGGTTAGGTGACAGAGTAAGACTCTGTCTCCAAAAAACCAAAATATAAAATAAAACAACACTAAATTAAAAGCAAAAGAAAAACATAAACATAAGGACACAAATAGGTTAAAAATGAGAGGAGGAAAACACATGCCAAAAGTAATCAAGAGCGAGCTGGATTGGTTCTATCAGTAATAGTCAGAGCAGATTTTTTTTTTTTTTTTTTTTTTTTTGAGTTGGAGTCTCACTCTGTCATCCAGACTGGAGTGCAGTGGCCGCTCCCGGCCACCGCAGCCTCGACCTACTGGGCTCTGGTGATCCTTCCGCCTCAGTCTTCCAAGTAGCCGGAATTATAGGCATGCGCTACCACACCCGGCTGATTTTTTGATTGATTGTAGAGATGAGGTCTCGCTGCCCAGGTGGGTCCCGAACCCGTAGGCTCAGGCAATCCACTCACCTCAGCCTCCCAAAGGCGCGGGATTACAGGCTGACCCACCAAGCCCAGCTAAAAGCAGATTTTTAAAGCAAAAAATATTACCAGAAAAAAAAGGTGTAATTTAACAATAATAAAAGGGTCAATTCATTAAGAAGAAAATGTTTTAGGGTCTAAGAGCACAACTTTTATAAATAAATGAAGCAAAAACTGATAGTATAATGCAAAAAGAAATGGATAAATTCACAATTATAATTAGATATTCCAACATCTGGATCCCAATATCTGATAAAAGTAGACAGAAA